TAATTCACGACTGCCCAAGCTTGAGTTGGTTCTCTTTCCTTGTTGACTCGGGATCGAAGCTTTTAAAATTTATCTTCGTAATTTTCCGAAGTCTTGGTTTCCGAAGTTAATTCCCGATTAAGATTGCTGTGATCAGCATGGGAAATTTGGAAGCGAACGCGATGCCTAAAAAAGAGGGTTTGCGGTGTTGGGATTCTTACGGATGTTTAGTCTAAAGTTTGGCTGGCCTTTGGCGGCTAGCTAAGGGAATATTTTACGTCTGTCTCAAACTTGGCTCGCCGTTTGCGAGGGTGGAAATGTTTATAAGATAAGAACCCGTGAGAACTCAGTAGAAAGCTCTGCCAAAATAAATTGTTTACAATTAGTTTGTTTAAGATTTTGGGTGATTTGTATATGATTAAGGAGGTAATTATTAATATTAACAATATTAGCTCTAGGGGTAATTTTGTATTTCCGATTTTTAAAAATGGATTTATGATGTTTATGTTATCTAAACTTAATTCGGAATTGTTTGAGAAGATGCAGTCTGTGATCATATAATTATTATATTTATATTGTGTTATGTATTCTAACATCTTTTGCTTTTCATTAATGTATTTTACGTTATTAATGACGATGCTTTCATTAAATAAAATCAGAAATGCGCCGTTTAATTTTGTCTCGTTAACAATGTTTTCTCCGGTGAGGAGAATGGCGCCATCATCTAAATTTTCAAAGTTTTTATTTTTTTTCCCTAATTTTTTAACAGTTTGCTTTTTTCCCATTTAATACATTTCTTAAACAGGAACTCTCGTTAGAAAGTTAACAATAATTATTAAATATTTTTTTTTTTAAATTTGTTATCTTATAAAATATTCCTTTGCAATACGCTGTCTTATCATCTATTATTAATTTTCGATTATTTTGGGCAATTGCCCTTTATGTATACAAACTACAAATATTATTAATTATTGGGTATTTTATATATTATATATTATAAGTAAATCTTGGTTTTTTACTATTTTGAATGTTGAAATGTCTAATAAATCTGATAGTACAATTGGTTTATTTTCGGGTCTAAAGATTTCTTTTATGTCTTTTTCATTTAAAATTTTTGTATTGAAAACGTCGACTTTTGCTAAAGTGATAGTATCGATTAAATTTTGAATATCGAGTGTAATTAATTTCAGACGATGTTGTCTTACTTTTGTTCCTTTTTTAAAAATGATTGAGTCAAGGGTTTTGGTGATTAATTGTACTTCCTGAAATATTCGTGAGTTTATTGTAAGTTGTTTGTTATTGTTTTCTGTAAGTTCGTTAATTTTATTTTCAATTCTTATTAAGTCGTCATGGTCGGGTGTACCTGATAGCCACTTCCATACTGTTTCCAATTCGTTAATACCCCTTTTATTTCTAGATGGGAGGATTTTAATAATGTTTAAATTTTGTGCAATGTCCCATTCTAATTCAGAATTCAGACTTTTATTACTAATACTATTTTCAATTTGAATTATTTCTTTGTAAAAACTTAAATTAGTAATATGAAATAGGTCCTCAAAGGAGTCGTAAGTCATTACATCGTTTTCGTTTTTAAGTAGTAAATACTCGTTGTTAGTGTAGTCAATAATTTCCGAGTGGCAAAAAGTAATCAAAATAGCGATGACAAATGGGATTTCCATCGTCTGTAAGAGATTAATTATTTAATATTATCTTTATGAATAACTCTTTTTTATTATTAATTATTACTTTGTTTGGTAAGTTTTCCTGAACGACTGGTTTTGTGAATCTTGGACCTAGTTTTTTTCTTTCTCCGAATCTTTTTTCGTATACTACTTCTCCTACGTGATAATTTTTTTGTAATTTATTTTTATTTTGATGATCTAACATTTTAGTTTGTGCTATCTGTAATTTGACTGGTAAGTCGCTATGATTTATTTTATTAAACAAGATGTCGTAAGGTTTTTGGTTTGTCACTGAGTGAATTGTGCTGCTCTTATAATAATTTCAGAATAATCTAGGAGGCGGTACACGTCTTTAATACAACGAACTATTTCTGTTAAGGTTGAATGAACTCTTTCAACTTGTCCGTTGGATAGGCTATGTCTAGGGTCTGTATAATGAATTGATATTCCAGAACGTTGTAAAAAGGATTTAAACTGTGCCGATACGAAACTCGTTATCTGTCATAATTGTTTTTACTAGTGGAAATGTTTGAAGTAATTCGTATACTTTTGAGTCAATGTTCTTTTTGTTACTAATTTCTTTTACAACGAGGTATTTAGAGTATGAATCGGTGCAAGTTTTTGTGCGTAATAAATATCAATATGTAAATGTTGACCTTCTATTTTTGGAATAGGAGCTTCTCCGATAGGGATTTGTGGTGGATTTCTGTTGTATTTATTTGTATTACAAATTTCGCAAGTCGTGATATACTCCTTTAATTTTTTGTATAAGTTTGGCCAATAGTATAGCCTGCTGATTTGTTTATAATTCTCATCTAATCCTCTGTGAGCTCGACAATGGGTTTCCTCTATTATTATTGCTTTATCTTCGTTATTTGTTATATCTTGAACAAAAATTTTTGTATATAGAAATTTATTTGTAAAATTATGTTTTGCAGTGGATTCCTGTGCTAATATTCGGTTGTAGAAATTCTTTTAGAATTGTAATTAAGTTTTCTGGTTGGTCATTTTCGATGATATGCCTTCTGTTGTCGAAGACATTGATTTGTTCATGTATTGTAAAGTTTCCTTTTGCTAATAGAAGTTATTGTTTAAACTGATTAAGGGGTTTTTTTGTTTCGTTAATTATATTATCAAAGCTGCTTTCGGCTGAATGTTGAGTGCCAGAATCCGTGGATTTTTCATTCTCTTCTTCTGTTATATTATTTATTTCGATTCTAGAAAGGGCATCTGCTACTACATTAGTAGTACCATGCTTATATATAATTTTTGGGTTAAAACTTTCTATATAATTAAATCATCTTTTTAATTCAACATTTGGGTTTTTATCCGAAATAGCGTAAGAGAGCGGTTGATGGTCCGTATGTATTTCTAGTTCTGATACTCTGTATAAATAATTTCTTAAGTTTTTTAGTGCCCAAACTATCGCTAGGAGTTCTTTTTTATTGGTAGCGTAATTTCTTTCGGTTTTATTGAGTGTCTTAAATATAAAGGTAATTGGGTTTCCGTTTTGGAAGAGCACTGCTCCTATAGCTAAATCTGGTTGAACTAGTTCTATGTAGCTAATTAGTTGTTCTTTTAGTTCGTTAATGGCCTGGATTGCCGGATCATTGAGAGTAATTAAAACATTTTTTGACATTCTCTTTGAAATTTTTCCATTGGAGCCTTCTAAAAATCTGGTTAGGGGTTTGGCAATGGACGCGTAATTTTTTACGAATTTTCTATAGTATCCTGTGAGTCCCAGGAAGCTACGCAGCTCTCTGATATTTTTGGGAATAGGATATTTCGGTATGGTTTCTATTTTTTGGGGGTCGGTTTTAATAACGTTTTGTGATACTACATATCCTAGAAATTATGTTTCCATTTTAAAAAATTGGGATTTTGCTAGTGATATTTTCATATTGGCTTCGCGTAGAATGTTAATTATCGAATTGAGGTCATTTAAATGTGTTTTGAGGGAGTGAGAAAAAATAATTATATCGTCCATGTAAACGTGGCAGAATTTTCCAATATGTTCTCTAAGTATATCGTCCATTGCTCTGTGGAATATTCTGGGCGCATTTGTAAGCCCGAATGGCATTCTTATTAATTCGTATTTTCCGTTGTTAATGGAAAATGAAGTTTTTTCTACGTCTGATTCTTTCATCAAGATTTGATGGAAACCTGATTCTAAGTCTATCGTACTAAAATATTTAGCCTTTCCTAGGTTAGATAAAACGAACAGATGTAACGAACTGATTTTTACGTTCTGCTCGCTACGAGTATCGTGCGGCTAGCTCAGAAGATGTGTGTTGTTCGTCCCACCAAATTTATATAAACGTGACCGCCCGATTGTCTAGTGAGAACGCACAGAATGCTGGGATGCTTGTATTGGGATCTTTATTCGCCGACTTATCCCTCGGCCTGGGACTAACGGTGACAGATAGGTATCTCAACACCTCCCTTGAAGAATTGTTGTCGCTCCACCGTCGCTCTCCGCTGCCTCGCTGTTCGCTGCTCGCTGCTCCGTAACGCCTCCGCTGTCTTTGGCCTCGGGGCTTCTGAGGGTCTAGGGATGCGTCACCGTTCCCAGACTAGGGTGAACAGGCACCGGGCTCTCAAAGCGTACGCCTTTCGCAGCCACAGCCTCCTGTCCCTGGATCTGTCCCGGCCGGTCGCACCAGACGCCTGCACAGTTTCCACCTGACGGTTCAAGCATACGCCGGAAGGCCGCCAATGCAGGTTCAAGACGAACGCTTCCGCCCTCGCCTCTTAGCCGTGGACTGGATGTGTTGTAGAATGGCTTGGTTGCCGCTGGGCCTGCGATGGCTGCTCGTCGCTTCTCGTGTTCTCGATGCCCTTGCTCTGCTCACGGCGTGGTCTGCGCGCTCTAGTGAGACTAGGTGCAGCGGTCTTTGGCTCTCGAGATTAGGTCAGTTGCCTGTCTAGGACTCTGGCGGTGAATTACCGTGCTCTCGACGCATACGCCTCTCGAGACACCCGTGGTTCAGACGCGCGTCCTTCGTGGCTAGTCGCACCAGGGCCTGCACAATTCTCGCCTGTCGATTCAGGCGTACGCCGGAATTTCGATAAGGCAATTGTTTTCGCACGGCCGCTAGTTCTGGACAACTTCCCTCTCAAGCCCACGGTTCTCTGTCGAAGGACTCTTTCTATTCACTTCCGTCGGACTCGCCGAGCAATACGCCAAGCTCACGTCGCGACAAGAATTAGAACAAAGCGCCTGGACTTAGCCGCGTGATGCCTCAAGGACCTCAGCTACCTGTTTCTCAGCTCGGCGACTTCAACTCTAAGTCCCGAACGTCTTGATGTAGCGATCTTGCTCCTGTTTTCCTCACTGATTTACTGCTTGTCTACGGATCTGGAGCTGGATTGACTCCTTATGATCGACTGATCGACTGGCCACACCCAGGGTCCTTTCTCCAATGGCTCCTCCGAGTGTGTTGCCTCCTTCATGTCGCACGGCCCCGTACTCGGCGTCGGTGGGGCCCATGCGTCCGGCCGGCCTCTTTTCCGGGGATCCCTCGGGTTCATGTGGGGGGCCTCTTCCTCCCATATACGCGGCTTATCCCCGTCTGCCTCCGTCACTGGTCCCTCCGGCCACGTCGACACCACCGACTGCTGCCGCCACCGCACACCCTCGGCAATAAATGCCCGCGTGCTGTGGCTGACGTGGGCCGCCGGTACGTCGGTCCTCACCGTCGTCGACCCCTCCGTTGTGGGGAATGGAGTTTCCGGTGTACTTGGCTCGGGCTGGGGGTACCGCGGGGTAGGTGGCCGTGCTGGCCGCCATGGGGGTGTAGCCCTCGGCACTTCTCCTCCGTTCCCCGGGTCTTCGTCGCGATGCCCCTCCGGGTCGCCCCGGGGCGTCAGCGGCACCTCCGGCCGCCATGGAGGCGTGGCCATCGGCGCCTCTTCCTCGCTCACCGGTTCCTCGCCGAAGTGCCACTTCGGTTCGTACCGTAGCGTCGGCGGCACCTCTGGCAACCATCTCGGCGGAGATGGTGTCCACTCTTCCTCCTCGTCCTTCCCTTCCGCCGCGGGCTCCTCCGCCAAATATCGGGGCGTTGGCGGGACCTCCCACATCCGCCGTTCTTCCTCCTCCGCCTCCTTCAATTTGGCGTGCCACCGAATGGCCGCCTCCACGTGGTGGCGGTGCAGTTTGGCCTTCCTTTCGGGCTCCTGCTCCCGCTCTTGCTCCGCCGGATCTCGGACCTCAGGCCCCGCCTGCTTCTGAGCCATGGCCCGGCTGACCGCCTCGATGTGGCCACTTGATGGCGTTGCCTCCTCGTCTCTGATCTCGGGGGTTTGGCCCCCAACAGCCGACGTCCCGGGTGGGATGCGACCATCCCTCGTCGCCTTGCGGAGCCGCCACTCCCTCTGCTCTGTGATGGGGTCATCCACCATCTCGACATCGCTGTCCGAGCTCATAATGGGCTCCGGCGAAGACTCTACGGCGCGAGCCCGTTTCAGGGACCGCCACGGAGTTCGGGTAGGCCGGGCTGCCGACCATCCTTGCCCCGGGTTGGGTCCCTGCTGGGCCGCCATCCTCCTACGTGCTTCGGCTCGAGTTATCACACTGCTCATCTTGACTGAAGTTTTCCTAATGCCTAATCGTCGCAGGGCTTTCCTCGAATGAAACCTCGGTTTCGTGCCCTCTTCTTTATTTGTTACCGTTATCCTTTGCTCTCGTACGGCACAGTTCTCTTTGCTGTGCCGTCTTCCCCCTTTCTTTGTAAAACTCGTAAGCCTTTTAGCTCGACAGATCCACATAGCACTCTGGATGCTGCGGTTCGCCGCTTCTCACCGTGCTTAAACAAATGTTGTCCAGGTAGCTTTGGTATATATCTTGGGTATCCTTGGTTTATCCTAGAGGTATCCTTGGGGTTCCCTTAAGGGATCCTCTGGATATCCTTTGGGGTATCCTTGTGGTGTCCTTGTAGTAACCTTGGACTATCCTTGTGTTATCCTTAGGGATCCTTAGTGCATCATTTGGGTGCCTTTAGGGCATCCTTGTGGTGTCCTTACGGGTATCCTTGGATTATCATTGTGTTATCCTAAGGGGATCCTTAGGGTATCCTCCGGGGTGCCTTTGGGGTATCCTTGTGATGTACTTACGTGTATCCTTGGGGTATCCTTGTTTTATCCTTAGGGATCCTTAGTGTATCCTTTGGGTGCCTTTAGGGCGTCCTTGTGGTGTCCTTATGGGTATCCTTGGATTTTCCGATTCAGTGTCCGCCTGGCGTAATCACGGATGATTTGGCGACTGCCCAAAGTTGAATCCTGATGCCTTGCGGTCTGGGTTCCTTGCATGTTGATCGTGTCCTTGTGCTGTACCCGTAAGTGTCCTTTCCGCCTGGCGTGATCATGGATGACTCTGGCGAATGCCCGACGCTGAATCCTGTTGCCTTGTGGTCTGGATCCCTTATGAGTGTCCTTTCCGCGTATTGTACTTATGGATGACTCTGGCGATTGCTGAATCCTGTTGCCTTGCAGTCTGTATCAATGTGAAACCCTTGTCCTAGTCCTCCGGTGTGTCCGCCGTCTGCTCTTGTGCCGTTTCTGCTTGTTGCTGCTTAAGCTCGCTAATGTGAATAGTCCGCTCTTTCTTTGAATGTGTGTGGCGTATTTTGCAGATTACCGGCGAGACGAAATCTACAACCTGGTAAGGACCATCGTACCTCGGGGCTAATTTCGCTGCGAAACCCTCGGCTGCTTTGGATAGGTGGTGTTCTTTTGCCCATACTATGCTGCCCACCTCCGGCGTCCACTGCCTCCTCCTCAGATTGTAGTATCTGGCTTGGTCCTCGGATGCCTTTTCTATGTTACGGCGAACGACTTCGAAAATCTCTTGAAGTTTAGCTGCATTCTCGTCTGGGGTCTCTGTGCTCTTCCCTGAGCCTAGCGTTTCCCTGTCGTATAGTGCGTTTGGCAAACGGGGTTCTCGGCCTTGAGTGAGAAACGCTGGGGAGTACCCGGTTGATTCAGATACGCTTGAGTTTACTGCTAGCATAATTTCAGGCCAATTTTCGTCCCAGGTTCTTTGGTCTTTTCCTGCGAATTGAGGTATCATAGTCTTTACCGTACGGTTAGCCCGTTCTGTTGGGTTTTCCTGCGGTGTGTAGGGCGCCGTGAATTGCTGCTTTATTCCCATTTCGCTAAGAAATCTTTTAAACGATCGACTGGTGAACTGTACTCCATTGTCGGTTATCACTATCTTTGGAGCCCCGAACCTTGATATGATGCGTTCTCTGAACGCCTTCTGTAGGGTCTCCGCTGTCGCTGTTCGTAGTGGTACAATTTCCGTCCATTTAGAAAACCGATCAACTAACACCAGTATCATTTCATTTCCATGCTTTGATCTAGGCAGCGGCCCGACGAAGTCCGCACATACTGTTGCCCATGGTTCCTCTGGTACCTGAGTTAGCATTTTCCCTAAAGCCTGCAGCTGATTGGGCTTGTATTTCAGGCAAACTTCACACTTGCGTACGTGGATCCTGGCGTCTCTGTGCATTCCTGGCCAGTAGTATCGGGCTGCCAGGCGTGCTATTGTTCTTCTACTCCCAACATGGCCAGCGGATGGGGAGTCATGGTTTTCTTCTAGGACGGCTTGTCTTAGACCCTGCGGAACGCACAGTTTCCAAGCCACGACATCTTCATAGCCCGCTCTGTGAGGAATGTGCCTATATAGTGACTCGCCTTCCATTACATAATCTGGATATTTTTGTGGTTCTGCTCTTATTTTCGACAACATACTCCTGATCCAGCTGCAGCTATTGGTAGGTTCTGATGCGTCTTTTATGGCCCTAAGTGTCTCCGGCAACGGTTGTCGGGATAAGGCGTCTGCTACTACGTTCAGTTGTCCTTTCCTGTACGCTACCTCGAAGTCGTACTGTTGTAGTTCCAGGGCCCATCTTGCTATCTTTCCGGACGGGCTTTCTATGCTGTTTAACCACTTTAAAGCCATGTGGTCTGTAACCACTTTAAAATGGTAGCCCTCCAAGTACGGCTTCAGCTTCCTGATTGCCCACACGATTGCCAAGCACTCTTTTTCAGTAGTGGAGTAATTTTTCTCCGCGCCGTTCAGTGTCCGGCTTGAGTAAGAAATGACCCTTTCGCCGTGCTCTGTCTCTTGAGTCAGGATTGCACCTAACCCATAGTCGCTGGCGTCCGTCTGAAGGATGAACCTTTTCTCAAAATCTGGGCACGCCAGCACTGGCTACTAATCGTGCCTTTACCTCTTCGAAGGCCTGTTGGTGTTCCGGCGTCCATGTCCACTTTGTGCCTTTGCGTAGAAGATCGTTCAGTGGTCTAACTATACGCGCAAAGTCTGGCACAAATCGTCGATACCATGAGGCTACGCCTAGGTATTGTCGTAGTTCGCGTACTGTCGACGGTGGCTCTAGTTCGGCTATGGCTGCTACCTTCTCGGGATCTGTGCCTATCCCTTCGCTGGTAACGCGGTGTCCTAGGTAAAGCAATTCTTGCTTGAAGAATTTGCATTTATCGGCGTTTATTCTCAAATTTGCTTCCTTTAGGCGCCTGAACACTTCCTTTAGGTTCTCCACGTGTTCTTTCAGTGTGCGTCCGATCACAATGATGTCATCTTGGTATGCAAACGCGTATGGTGACATCTCTGGGCCGATTACCTGATCCAGAGCCCTTTGGAACGTGGCCGATGCTGAATGTAGTCCGAAAGGCATTACTTTCCATTGGAATAAACCTTTGTCGGGTACTGTAAATGCCGTATATTGCCGACTATTTGCTTCCAAAGGGACTTGCCAATATCCGTCTTTCAGATCTAGACTGCTTATTTATTTCGCCTCTCTGAGTTGGTCCAGGATATAGTTGATTCGCGGCATCGGGTAGGCATCTTTTATGGACTTCGCGTTTATTTGTCTGAAATCCACGCATAGCCTCCACTTGCCCGTCTTCTTTTTCACCATCACGATGGGCGAGCTGTATGGACTTCTTGAATGTTCTATGAAGCCCATTTGTAACAGCTCGTCCACTTTTGCGTTGATTTCTCCTTGGACTCTTGGGTTCTTAGGATAATACCTCTGCTTGATTGGCTTGTCGTCTTTCATGGTGATTTGGTGCTCGGCCACTGTAGATGTTCCTGACATGGTGCTGAAATCTGCTAACTGTTTGGCGAGGAATTTCTCGATGTCCTCTTCATCACTTAAGTGTGAATCTACAGCCACCGACAGCCTTTCTTCCAGACATCCGTTGTGCCGTTTTCTTGCCGGTATTTGCAATTCATGCCCGGCACATTTTATTTCTGCCCCGACTCCTGTGAGGAAATTCCATCCCAGCACTAGTTCGTCCACTACTCCTGGAAGTATTAACAGATTCATCTCCAATTGTTTGTTTCCAAATTTCACCGTGATTTCGAGCTGTGAGCTTATCCGGCTGCATCTGCCGTCTGCCAACCTAACTTGCCGTCTTGTCCTCGTGATCATTCCTGTGTCAGTCAGTCTATCCGCTAGCTCCTCATTAATGAAACTTGACGTTGCTCCCGTGTCAATTGTGGCCTTGTATGCGACGCCTCCAATTTCAACGTACGCGGATAACTGCTGCTCTTCCTCGATCAACTTGCCAGTTAGTTTGGAGAGGAGACACTTTGCGACCCCTGTGCGCCTCTCTGCGACTGGGATCGCTGCCCATTTCCCGCCTTTTTGGCAGCACTCTACACTCCTTATGCCAATTTTGCCGCACACCCAGCAGAACAGTAGTCTTTGGTTTCTGCATCCTCGTGCCCAGTGTTCGTGTCCTCCACAACGGCGACATGCCTCCTGTGGGTTCACCACGTGGGTCTGTGTATTGGTGGCATTGGCATTGGGTTGCGTGCCATCTGAGTGGTGTTTGGTGGCCTCCATAATGTGTTCGTTGGTTGCCTTTGTTGTGTTGTATTGGCCGGTGTCCACTGGCCAAAGGACGGGGTTTGGTTTACCGTGCTGTCTTCACATCTCCTGCATGTAGTTTGTGGTGGTGCTGCGATTTTGTTTCGAGAGAACTTGTGTTCGTGAATGAACTCTTCTCGCTCTTTGTCCAGTTCTTCGTACTCGTCAGCCAGGATCATTAATGTGTCCAGATCATCCACTTTGTACGTTCTTAGTGAGATTCTCAGGTCTGGTGTGCAGTTGTCCTTGATTATTTCTAGGGTCTCCTTTGGCGAATACCCGAGTGGCCTCATCAAAGTCTGCATGTCCACCATGTAATCTTTGAACGGTTCCCTGAAACCCTGTTTCCGTTGCATCACTTTGTCTGCCAATTTCGAGAAGAACCCTCTCGGCAGAAAGTACGTCTGGAAACTTTCGCTGAACTCTCCCCATGTTCTCCACTGTTTGTTGTTTGAAATGAACCATTTCAGTGCTTTGCCTTGCAATAGCTCTGGCATTGCACGTGGGATCATGTTCAGGTTCAGCCCGTACGTGTTTGCGGACCATTCCACCTGCTCTAGAAATTCCAGTGGCTTCTCTGTGCCATCGAATTTGAACGACCATTCCCTCACTTGCTTTGCGACTTTGGCGTAATCTGGAGTGCTAGGTCTTTGCTGCCCTGTTTTTCTTTCTTGGCTTGGGTTT